GAACAGGGTGTGGGTGTGGGTGTGGGTGTGGGTGTGGGTGTGGGTGGGTGTGGGTGGGGTGTGGGTGCTGTTAAATGTATCTATATTCACACCCACATCCACGCCCACACCCACACCCTGTTCTTTATAAATTGGTTATTTAAATACCAAATAGTATCGAGCAGCTCAAGCTACATTTTGAAAATCACATCCATCGGACAAGAATAAAACCGATTCAAAATGTCGATGAAATTACAGTAAATATAAGTGTATTTGAAGCACTCTCCTTATATATATATATCGATTAATATGAGTAAGGATTTTAGAATTTATATCGACACCATTCTTCGAATCTAGAAGAAATACATTACTCTTATTAAAGAATATTTTGAAGTTGAGGGTGTGCGTATGAATCTTTTCTTAAACACCCATATCCACACCCAAATATTAATTTAGATGTTTTTCTGCCATTTCGATAGTTCTACGTGAATTAAAAAAAATAAAGAATGCGTTATCTTTATAGTATATTAGACATTTCTGTTGATATCGATCGTAGAACCTTCAAGATATCAAGAAAATATCTAAATTAATACTTTTTTTAATGACTGAGAGCTTTTCGAAAATTACATAAAAATTGTTTTAAATTAATACTAATTTATTTAATTAGAGGAATGAAATATTAAAAGTATCTTTAATGATAATCTACATAGTAAAATATTCACAAATGACACCAGAATAAACCTTTCTATAGACAGAAAAGTCATCCTCCATAATTAATTATGAATCGTGAACGCGAATGATGCAGAATTCACTCGAAAGACAATAAAACAAGTCAAATGAGAATAATAATAATAACAATCATGAATATGATGAGACCCTTTATTTTAAGTTGCTCGCTTATACATTGATAACTCTTGAAATATTTGAAATCAGAAAAAAAACATCAATTTACCTTCTAAAAACGTAAGCAATAACTGTGTTATATTTGAAAAAAAGTGCCATATAATATTGCATTCTATCGGATCGAATGTTTGTGATGATTAGTTAGTAAGATGTTTTCATGTTCTAAATCAATAGGAAGAGTCTAAAATCAAAAGAATGAAAATAATTTTGAATCATACTGTTCTATATTTGTTTCTAGATATCACCATTTTTATATACTAAATATCGAATAAAAGATTGAATTTTATGACAAGTATTAATTTCAATGATGTAATTACTTTTTGAGTAATTATTGATCCATTCTATTAAAAATATAGGTGTGAAAAGCAGAAATATTGAATGATCTCAAAAGAGCATACAAAACCAATTGATGACTTGTCTACAAGAAAATGTTTTCTTCTAATGGTATTTCATTGAAAAAATACCAAAATATTTCGATATTTGGTGTATGATCTGGCACATAAAACATAATGATTAACACTGACGAAATGCTCATAAAGCAAAAAGAGAAAGACGAAAATGAAACCTAATGCTTTGAATTTTGGATAAGAATTGTTTTTATTGATATTAGTTCAAATAGAATAATCTAAACAATTTAATTTCGGTGAATTAGAAAGTCATCGCTCGTTAGATATGAATAAATTGAAGTTCTCTTTGAAAACACTGATGTTGATGAGAAAATAACTGATCTGGTAAAGTAGTAATGATTTCTGATGATGCAATATATAAAATAATTGATGTTATGTTCATGTTTATTTCTGTCAGATCAATAAGATATATTGCCATCACACAGTACATCAATTATTCGCCTTATAAACGAAGTTATTAAAGTGAACAAGAAGAAACAAGGTGATTGCATTTATTTCTGATCATTTTAAATTTGTTTCTACTGTTGAAATCAGTCTGTTTCCCTATTTTCAGACATGAAGATAACATAAAGTATCGTCTAGCTTATAATACAAGAGTTGGTTGAATCTGTTATGATGTTGTACGTTCTCTCAACTAAAAATTAAAAATAGAAAAATTGTCTAGATATAGATGTCTTAGCTTCAAGTTGTTAGGTAATAAGTGCAACTTATTCCAAACATGTTTTAGCTTACTAATATCATTTTGTGGCAGCTAATAGTCTTTTCAATTTTTGAACTCTTATAAACATTCGACAGAACTAATACAGCTAATCTAGTAATATAATACAGAGTCGCGAATGGAATTGCTTATGATTGAATATTAATTAAAACGAAAACATATTGGAATGTAAGACGACTTTTCAATACATAACAAGGAAATAAATGAGCGAAAGCTGAAAAATTTAAATTCCATCAAGTAAACATTGTAATAAATTATTGAGACTATTGCAAATAAACTTTCATTAATTACAAAAGGAGAATCGATTAAAGAGAAAAAACATATTTTTCTGTAGGTATTAGCTTTAATAATGCCTATTGGTGAGATTTGCGTATTCTCGACTTGCTTGAACAACAAAAAGGTTTTAGTTCTTTGTCCAGATAATTATCCTTGATTTCCTTTTTGTATTTAAAATAATCGATAAATTATTTTTTAATGATTAAATATAATATTAAACGAAGCGAGAGTATTCAAAAATGAGTAGAAAACTCGTGAACTCATTTGGATCAAGGAAACTCGATGGTAACACCAACATATTTCGGTCTGATAGTGAGACCTGTCACATGTCCACCTGAATTAACTTTCGATCCACCATCGCCAAATGTAACTTGTTGTAACATTCTTGCGATAATCACTTTAAGTTCGAACCGTGCTAAATCTTGTCCAACACATTGACGATGACCCGCACCAAATGGAAGGAATGCGTATGGATGATAATTTTTATCTTCTCCTAAAAATCTTTCGGGAGCAAAGCGTTCAGGATCGATTGACCAGTATCGAGCATCATGTGCAAGATTGTGAGATGGAATAAAAACTGTGTCACCTTTATACAGTTGAACGTTACTTTCAGGAAGACGATCGTCAATCGTCAATGTACGTGCAGTTCCGTAAGTAACTGGATGAAAGCGTAGCGTTTCGTTGATAACACAATCCAAATAGACTAAAGAGTCAAGCTGATTTAATGTTAAAGTCTGATTATCACCAATACGCATCAACTCTTCTTTGATCTTTTGTTGTACATCAGGAAATTTGCTCATCGTATGAATGAACCAGGCCAGCGCAGTAGACGTCGTTTCAAAGCCAGCAACCATGAAAGCGAGGATCTCTTGTAACACTTCTAATTTTGAAAGACCTATTCAAAAACCAAGAGAGATATTCAATTGAAACTTCTTTTCTCGATTATAGATTCTTGTTAAACTGAGATTGACAAAAAAATTTTTATTCCATTTGAGAAAACTGTTGGAATATTCAGCGTAGATATCGAAGACTTTTATCAGGCATGTGGTTGCTGACTGTTATGGTTAATTTACGAATGCTGGAGTGATTCTAGAAGAGTTCCGTCAAAAGAAAGCGAAAAATAAAACATTCTTGAACAAATTCAATACATGATTCTGAAAGAATGAGCTCCGTCTAAGTAATAATACTCTAGTAGACATAAATACAGTTCTGTAATAGTAGTATCAAAAGTATGAGCAATATACATACATTCGAAATGATATTTGGATTTGAAAGAAAATAGAGCGATTTTTGTTGACAATAACTTTTACCTTGTTTTTGATCTTCACTTTTTTTCGCCTCCGCTTCTTCATCCTCTTGTAGGGAAGCTACAAGTGAAGCAATCAAACATGTTCTCTTTCGTTGTGCTCTTGACTCTATAGTCTCAGCCATTTCATTGTCCATTAGTTGATATATATAACGTTCGATGATAGCCTTTGCTTGTCGATGTCGATAGCTGAAATGTGTATAAATGCTACCTATTATAGGTGGTGAAAAGAATACCAATTTACACGAACTCATAAACTCGTAGAGCGCCGTCGTGAGCTCATTTTTATTCGAGTCATATTCGTTGAGTGCATCTAGATTATAGTCAAAACTGATTAAACCAAATATTTCAAGTAGAAGATTTTGGCATTGTAGCACAATATCACAATGTACATGATGACTCGAACTTGCACGCCAATTAGACAAAAGTTTTTCAGTACACTCGACAATTATATCAAAATTATTGATAATTTTAGCACGACGAAACAATGGCATAGCGATCGCTGCATGTCGCTTGTGTTTGGATCCTAGTCATTTTAAAATAAAATAAAAGTCATTTCTTTTTCAAAAAAACTAAAGATCAACCTGTTAAAGTAATATATCCACTTGGAAATAGAACAGAGAATTGCTCAATGAAAATATTGCCTTGATCATAAATATTTCGATGTGTAAATATATGTTGAATATCATTGACATTACTAACGATAATGTAACGAGTAGGACCAAACCAAAATTGAAAAATATCTCCATAACGATATTTCATTTCTGCGAAAATTTCAGCTGGAGATTTATTATACAATAACATACCCGATTGAATTAGATTTCCGAAGAGCAAATGTGGTGCTAGACCCGGTATAGGACCACGTAGAGTAAAATATTTGAGTTTGACATACAGGAGTAGTAAAATGATTACGCTTATGATCAGCAACAGAAGCATGGTCTGTGATACTTCAATATCTAAATGTCAAGTGTTGTTCAGAATCATTATCATAAAATACTACAGAAACTTGTAGTATAAAAAAAAACAATTTTCAAGTCAGCATTGCTTGCTTGTTATTACTTTATCACTTTACAATCGAATGTCAACACTCATGCATACTCCATATTTTCATTACTGTATGGTTCAAAGCACTTAAAGTTAACTTGAATGAAGCACTAGAAGAAATATACTTTTTTATTTGCATCTTTATCGACCTCAATAATTATGTCTTATGCAATATAAAGAAATCGTCAATGAAATAGGACTAATGCTTAACGAACATTTATCAATTAATTGTCCAAAAGAAAAGTTCATTATTGGAATCGATTTCATATCTATCTTAAATATGAGTAGTCTACAGATCTTATTGACATTAGATGTGCGTACGTGATTTAATAAGCTATATGTTTTACTTCTGACATGAATATAATGGATTACTTACCGAAATGAAATAAAATAAGTTCGATAGAAAGAGAAAACTTTTCCTGTTGAGATGCTCACGATTAGGTTTGATATAAGTTATTTAACTCTATTTTTTTTGCTTTGTCAAATGATTTCTTTTATCTATGTAGCATGGAAAATTTATTTTTTTTATGCTTCGTCATCGTGTCCTATTTTTTTTCTATTTTGACTTTCTTTCTTTGCTATAAACTCCATCGCCAGTGTGTTTGCATATGATGCACACAAAATGATATACCTGAGTGATTTGTGTATAACCAATCTTGCACATCAAATAACATTAATACATATTTATATCGCCAACACCATCGAAAAATAAAAGAGAGCAGGAAAAAAACAATTTATCTTTGTTTTAACTGCATAATATATTATACTTGTGCAAATATGTATATAATACAATGCAGTACGACGAACTCGATTAACTTTAGAAATTAGAATTTAATCAAGTCACATATGTCGAAAATAAAATTAGACTTGATTATCTCCAATTCAAATCTTTCATTGTTGATCTTTATCATTATGATTACTTAGTTTATAAAACATGCACTACGAAAAAATAATGGAATGTAGATGACCAAATTACACTTCTTTGTGAAATGAATTAAATAGATTAACAAGTAAAACTAATATCGAAGTTGTCATTCATAACTAGCAACTTCTTTGGAATTACTAGATAAAGCTTGATAATGCGAAAATCTGTCATATTAAATCAAAAATTAAAATTAATTCGAAATACATTGTTGGAAGATATAATTTTATTTGAAAAAGTGTGGTTCAATACATTTTCATCGATTTGAAGGGAATCAGTTTCAATTAATTTTTCAGATTCTATACAGAAACATTGATTTAAATATTTTCCCTAGTAGCAAATCTACTTTAATAGATGAAATATAAAACTCAGTGTAATCTATTAGATTTTATGAATCGCTCGCTTACATTTTATAGAAGATAGTTGATTTGAAGTTCATCATAACAGAGTCAAAATAATATTGTAATAATCTTTGTCTCCATTTGAAGCGGAAAATCTGTATTTTATTTGCATTTAATATAGTATAATATATATTTATTGAACATTTAATCCAATACTTAGAATAATAATAATTAAATTCAATTAAGAAGTACAGAGAAGAAAAATAACGGGTAGATGCTCAAAAGACAAGTTAAAAAATAGATCACCAGCAAAAAGCTTTTGTGCGACATGGAGAAATAAATACAAACAATCGTTTCTCTTAGAGAAAAAAAACACTATAACCAGCGAAAATTTTTTCACTTTAGTTATATACAAGTATAATCAAGTTAAAAAGAGTATACAGGAGTTCTACATACTATCAACAATGCGACTAATAACTAGTGTTTTTCGAACTCTTTAAAAGACTATCGTCTACATCCATTTAAAAGCATTCTTCTTCTTTTATTATTGTGATTAAATCACCGATAGGATTCAAGTATTTTAATAATTCATTAAATTATTCTAGTACACTTGTGTGCTACATTATGTTTATCACTATTTTCTATTTGTGAATCGCAATTCTGATTCCTCAGTAGAATCTATAAGAATTATTTTCATATTTAGATAATGTGGATACTTATAATACACTCACGAGACTTATTACAGCACTAATAATATATTCCCTTCAATTTACTCACTACACTGAAATTACAAATGAATTTTTTTTATGATAGAATTTTCGAAAAGTTCTATATATATCATAATATTCTTCATAGCTAAAACAAAAAAATTATCTATTATATAGTGAAACCTGTCTCTATAGATGTGGATGTGTACAGTTATATAGGAACACAATATTATCCATCGCAATTCATTGTTCATTAACGAGCAACTGATATTAGAGCGCGAAAAATATTGACAAAAAAACAGAACTTCACAAAGTGGTTTGACATGGCTTCTTTGCAAGATTTTATTATTTTATGATTACATACAATGAGAAACTTGTATTTATTCCCTATAAAAATTTCTATCAAGATGACAGATAACCTCATAAAAACAAATTGAAAATATTATAATTCGATGATAATATGATTGTAAACTAATATCTGTCGGTGGTGATATTGTCAAACACTAAATGACACAAGAATCATGTTGTTATGCTAATGTATACACAAAATCCCCCATCACAATCGATTTATCATTTAGGGTGATTCTTTTTGACTGATAATCACAAGAACGAGTAGTTCTTGAAAAGAAACACTTCTGTTAAGAATTTCAGCCCGATACAGCAAACTAGACTAGATTTCTAGGTTATTTATAGTCCATATTAAGTCGCCAAGAGAAGCCGTAGAACTCTCTTTATTATAAGAGATAGAAAGTTCTGAGTGGTCTCAACTTAAAGTCAACACTAGGAGACAGTTTTTCATTTGAAAACATTTTGAAATTCACTTCCGTTTATTTTTTATGATTATTTTAGTACACATCTCACTTCATGACATTAAATCTCGATTTTCTCAGCATAGAAATCAAATTTAAAAAATCTAGTCCAACAAAATTTGATTCTCATTTAAACCTTTAAAACAAAAATAATATTCGATTTTCTTGAATTGGACCGGATTTATTCCATTTTCTTCATCGAAAATCATATTTTTGAGAACAACAAGACGATAATGACGAATTTTACTTAAATTATATAAGGATGTTTATTCCATGCTGATAGAAGTAGACAAAATAATCTTTGAATGTGGGTGTGAGGATAACCCTTTTATCGCCGACATGCAACACTCAAACCACAACCACACCCCTTTCAGGACACATACAAGATTAAAATTTATTATTAGAGTCAACGACAGCATTTCAAAAGAGTATTTGTCGAAGTTTCACACTATATTAGAGATACTCATTTTTTCTTCAGTACAGTAAATTTTAAGTTACTACGTAATAAAAAAATTCATAAGATTTTTTCTTCTTTAAGCTTTGGTTATGTTTACAAGTACTGAGAGAGATATTTTTAGTGGCAGACTTTTTTCATTTGATGAAAAAAAGGTGTGTATGCACAGGTAAATGTGATGCAACATAAAAAGAAAGGCGAATAAAAGAAAAATATTTTACTTCAATTTGTTTCACAAAAGTAAAAGCATATGAACTTTCATCGTTAATATAATCTTATGATGGAGATTTGTTTTCATGACGAAAAATATGCTTTCAATCATCTAATCAGTGGAATTAACAATAAAATCCTCAAGAATTTTGGAATGCTTTCTTAAGACTTACTTTTTACAATTCTTAACCAATTAATTTTCATAAAAAATTATGAATATTTTTGACAAATTCTTATCTCATATAATTATTCCTTAGTATACTTCATTAGGGTTGTATAACTTCTTTCTTCTATATCTGATATTGTGCATATCTTTATTGTTATAGATGTGTTTTGGTAAGAACAATGACAATCATACAACATGAAAAAATATCCTATGTCAATATGTGATAAAATATCAAGAAATGAGAAAAGTGAAACATTGATACACGATAATAGAGTCCACCAAGTCCACCATTTTCATATCCAATCGAACTGAACCTTGACTCCCAACAAAAGTTTCTAAGTGACATTGAATAGTCTCTTCGAAGGTATCATATAGTTTTTTTGGTATTTTGTATTCAGTGACTAACGTATCCCATAGATTTCTTAGACGATTAGAGTTCATCGGATTCGGGATGAACACGAAGAACTCTAAAAGTTAGTAGAACGTTTCCGATAGTTTCAAAATTCATTATTTTTATGAAGTGAAAAAATAGAAAAAAACCATGTATCCATAAAACGCACTTTTGATGCGTTTAAACGCGTCTGGGATTCAAAACAGCCTCCAAACGCATTAAAATGCGTTCACCATATGGTGTTTGAAAGCGTTGCTAAGTCGTGGATACGTTCAGACGCGTTTCGCGACTAGAACGCATCACAACTGGTTCATATTAGTTTTTAAACGCGTTTCAACGCGAACAGTTTCATTTTTGGATCGGAATGCGTTCATAACTGGATATAATATTCACTTAGACCCATTTCAATGCGATTGCTTTTACTTTTGCATTTGAACGCGCTCACTCTATACACAGATAATGCTTTTGAGTTCCAGTAATACACGTATATGTAGTGTGTTTTTCTGTTCTGCATAGATAAGATACATGCGAACGCGTTTCTTGCTGCAAGTGCATATAGTGCTATCAATAATGCAGATTAATTCGTCACAGGATACATGACTAGATCTCGAACGGTGAATTGAACTGAGTGGTTTTCATTCAAACAAGCACAAAAATTATATAGTTAATTATATGGATGATATATTCAAGTCTGACGGTGTCTCGAATTCTTAAAGAGGACTCTTCTTGGTAATCTACAATTTAAAATATCAGTGGCTAGCATTGCATGAAACATAATATAAACACAAATAATTGCATACGAGAAATCTCATCATATTTGTGTTCATCATATAAAGTCATGAAGACAAAATTAATATGTGAAATAGGGTGTGGGTGTGGGGTGTGGGGTGGG